TAAGTAGCTATATATATAGTGTGCCTTTTCCCTTTTCATTCCCAGCTTTCTGAATAATGTTTTAAATATGAATAAACTATATTTGAGGTATTTTTGACAAACTTGTTCACCAAACTTTCCTTGTGTCATTGGTGGGAAGATATAATATAATTGTGTTGCTGGGAAAGATGGAATCCTCTTGACACAAATGCTGTCCTCCCCCTGTTCATTCCAAAGCTTGGTATATTCTTTCTTCTCTCCCAAGTATGATGAAGAAATATGCCTCCCAGTACCTGAATTATTCACCGAGACAACATTAAATTTAAAATTTCTTCCTCAAGGCAGCCTTTCTTGTTCCCCCTGCCCCACCACATCCCTGTAAATAACTCTGTTTAGGTGTATGTTACACTGTTCTCCTGATGAGAACTACATGCTTTTGTTCAATTTTCAATCCTCAATCTCGCTGAAGTATTCACCATACTTAGTTCCCTGTCTTAAATTCACTCCTCCCTTAGCATAGAAAGGAACTCTGGGGGCTCAGTGCCTAAGGCATTTGAGTGCTAAGCAGAAGGTTGGTGACTCCAACCCTCCAGCCACTCCACAGAAGGAAGACGGGCAATGTACTTCCATAAATATTTACCACCTTGGAAGCCCAACAATGGTCTCTGTGAGTTGGAATTGAGTTGATGACATTGAGTTTTGGGTTTTGTTTTGTTTTTTTTTAGCATACATGACATATTTCTTTTCCTCTCTATCTGTCACCACACTAGATCTTCTCTTCCTCTCCCAACCTCCAGGACTAAAGCTATAAAATGTAGTCCTTGGTCCTCTTCTTGATCTTTCTTACTTAGTAACCTCATTCATACTCTTGGCTTCAGCCACTGCCATCTTTCCCTAATTATTGTGACCTTCACTTTCTCTCACCAAAATAATAATAATATTCTTCTTATTTGTTTTCCACTTCCATCTTCTCCCTGCTTCAGCTAATCCCAAAACCACAGTCACTTGATTTTTCCCTTCAATCAAAGCCCTGATTGTTACTCTCCTGATCAAACGTCTTCCAGAATTCCTCATCAGCTACCAGACTGAAACTGACCTCCATACTCTGGAAGTAGATATACTGTTCATTTCAACCAGAGTTGCTAATGTTCTATCTGTTTTAGATATTGGGATTCTATGTAAGATTTCCTTCTTGAAAATGTGTCTAGAGCAATGTTCTCCACAAAATTAATGCTTAAATCAAAATGCAGAATATGGTAATAAAAAAAATGCAATGTCTGATTAATCAAATTAAATCAATTATATGAAAACAGCTACATTTTAAAATCCTTTTATAAAACAGTGTTTTTAATTGATGAGTTACTGAAAGAGAGATTATTTCCTTGGATAGAGAAGGGGACAGGAAGGTATTATATAAATAACTGTAAAGGCAAATATTCTTATTCCAGAAAATAATATTCTAATTTCTGATAAAGGCTGAGGAAATCAATATACTTCAATTTATAAATGACTCCTAAAATTAGTTCTCCACCAAAGTCAGAATAAATTTTTTTTTAACTTGTACTTTTTCAGAAATTATTTATAAATTTAGGAAGTAATTCATTATTTAGTATTTTATGTAATCAGTGCTCTATATGTTTTCCTTAATTTGTAGGCCTTTTTCTTTGGATATTCTTGGTAACTGTTGAGATAGCAATTGCATTCATATTTATGCATAAATATTCATATTATTAGAAAATTAAAAATAGCAGGAAATATCTAAGTATATCAATGACTTAACTTAGTTCCAAATGACAGGAGAAGGTGACTTTTAGTGTTGTATTGGCCTTCCTTCATAGGTAATGTAGTTGTTATAGGGAGCTCTGGTGGCATGGTGTCTAAAGCATATTTGACTGCTAACCAGAAGGCAGGCCATTCAAACCCACCAGCCACTCCTTAGAAGGAAGATTGGGCGATTTACTTTCATAGAGATACCGCCTTGGAAACCCAAGGAGGGGTTGCTATGAGTCGGATCCAACTGGACGGCAGTGAGTTTTTATATAGTTGTTATGAGATAAATTAAGTTTTGGATTTGGAGATTATTTTTTCATACAATCAAAATATTTTCATAGGAAATATTTTACCAACATGATTTTTTCTTTCTGAATCTTCAGGGTGATATTGGCAATCCTGGAAAGCCTGGGGATGGCGGACCCAAAGGATTCAGGGGACTAAGAGTAAGTGGCCTATAATTCCAGAAGTAATAAATATTTCTTTGGAAGACTCTTTTATGTTGTAATAATAAATGTGGATTATTGATCCAACCCAAGAGCTTCTGCAATGCCACTTGCTAGCGGTGTGACTTTCAACACACCTTTTCAGGATCTCAATTTCTATGACAGGAGACTTGAACTAAATCACCTCTGAGGTCATTTTCAGCTCTTAAAGCCTGAGGTTCCATGAATCTAAACTGTTTAAAAGATTTACAAATGACTGGTGATTCCAAAAATTGTCAGTGCCTTCCAGTCTTTTCTAAGGCACATATTAAAGCCCAGAATATTAGCCCTGTGAGTGGAAATGAAGCTGCCATCAGTCTGTTGTTTCTTGGAGGGTTTTTTAATCATTCCATTATCCATAACCAAGGTCATTGTAAGGAAGGCTGTTGAGAGTTTCTAATTAGCAAAGTGCACAGTAGAATATTATGCATACTTAAAAAACAAAATGCTGAGAAAAGCAGCCATTCATTTTAAAATTTGAGCACAATATCAGAGGTCATTATCAGCATGAAAGAGATGCAGTTCAATGAATATTTTCCATGTGGCTGGGTAAATTTCATTAGCATCTATATCCATCACCTTGGTGTGGGAATGATACAACTCATCCATGTCATCTTGTATGTATGAGGAATCATTTTCCTTATTTGATCTTTTGAAGATGGGAGGGGTTGTTTTTGTTTTTTAAGATCTCTATGTCCCCTAGTATATTTGCTTTGCTCATTAGCTTCAATTCCGGTTTATGACTAATTTAGATTTAAATGCAAAGCCATTGCCAGAGCAAAGTATGTCACTAATGAAGAGGCTAGGAGGGAAATGGATGTTTACCAATGATTAAGAATGGCTAATTTATATTACAAGTAACCAATTTACTTGACTTGAATGAATAATCACTTTAATCTTTTTTTTTCTTTTTAAAGTCCCATTAAAACTGTGCTAATCCTTATGGGTAGAAGATGTGGTGACTAACTCATGTTCTTATCTACAGCTCCCTCTAGGCTTGCAAGGTGAAAAGGGATCTCCAGGACACCAAGGCCCTCCTGGAAGGAGAGTAAGTGTGCCCATGAGAATTAAGTAGTGTGTAATGGTTTCTATGATGCTCAAAGGGAAGGGCACAGACTTTAAAGTCAGAAGCATTGAGTTCAAGTCCAAGTTCAGTTTTTTACCAGCTGTGTGCCCTTCGGCCAGTCACTGGGTCTCTCACTTTATCTCTGAAATGGGGATGATATATTTTAACAAGCTCCAAAGGTAAGTGTGAAGATAAGATAATCAAACGTGAACAAAATCATAAACCACACACACTACCCTCAAGTCGATTCTGACTCACAGTGTTCCCCATTGGGTTTGTGAGGTTGTAAATCTTTACGGAAGTAGATTGCCCATCTTCCTTCTGTGGAGCACCTAGTGGGTTTGAACCACTGACCTTCTGGTTAGTAGCCAAATGCCTTATCCACTGCACCACCAGAACTCCTTCAAATGTGAAGTCTTTGTAAAATATTAAGTGCAATGCAACTATTACCTATCACTTTTATTTATTACAGAAGTTTTTAAAAATAGAGGTGAGATTGTATAAGTTTCACAAAGGTGTTCAAACAAAGTTCCACCATGCTAGACAAGTTCATGTTGTTGTTGTTTTCGAGTCAACAACAACAACAACAATTTTCCAGTATGACTTCATTACAAGAGAAATGTCACGTCTTTTGGAACTCTTCTCAGGCAGAATCAGGCCTGTCTCCCACTGATAAAATTTCAATATCTCTATTTTAGTGCTTCTCACACTGTAATGATGATTTATTTACATATACATCTCCCCTAATGAGCATATGCAGGAAAGAACTAAATGTTGCCAACACCAGTGTTTGTAGGAAGCCTAAGATAGCATTGTGTAAGGAGTGGAAAAATCATTATCTTGTTTGGTGCATTGTGTATCAGAAGACATTCTGACTACCTGGAGGGGTCCTTCATCTTGACACTTTAAAAAGAAATAAACAAACAAACAAAAAACGGAAGATTTTGTGGATGACTGAATTCATAGTAGAATGAGAATCACGCCACTGTAAAGATACCCTGAGCTAATCATGTCTTTCTTTCTCATTGAGGAATTGGTGGATGTTATTAGTCATGTGGATGAGAATATAGTATCTGGGCCAATTTGGTCCAGTCTGGATTTATATCCCATCTGGATTCTGGAGCTCCTATTTTTGGTTTCCACACCTTTCTGGTCTTGTGCTTGGCCCCTGCTGGGCAGTATTGGGATGTGGCTTCTTTCTTCACAGGCCCTTGACCCTCAACTTTTGCTTAAAGCACACTCTTTCAGAACATATTCCTCCAAGGTTCTGATCCTTTGTAAAATGTGTGCTGCTTACTCTATTTCTTAGCCAGAAAGTTTTTCCCTCTCTATTTAAATGGTTCTGCAGGCTTTTCTGTTTTCTGCTATAACTTGTAAAACGAAGGATAAGACTCTGAGCCTTTTTCTGAGATGAATAAAGGAATGATATATCCAATGGGTAGAATCATGGATTCCACAAGAGTTCTGGTTAACATTATCAGCACACAGGTAATCCTGTATAACCATTTTGTAGGCCACCCAAACATTCAGCAAAACAACAAAACGCAATGCATGCTGTCAAGTCAGACCCAACTCATAGCAGCCCCTCCTTGGGTTTCCAAGGCGGTATCACTATGGAAGTAGATTGCCCAACCTTCTTTCCGAGGAGTGGCTGGTGGGTTTGAACTGCCAGCCTTCTGGTTAGCAGTCAAATGCCTTAGGCCCTAGGCCATCAGAGCTCCTAAACATTCACCAAGCACCCAAATGTTTATTAGATGAATGGATGATTGGATAGATAGATGGATGGATGGGTGGATGGATAATTCAGTTGTCATTTAGAACAGAAGTTATTGAACTGACACACATGGTTGAGCTTCTGGGAGTCAGTGAAATTGTATGTATCTTAGTTATCTAATGCTGCTTTACCACAAGTGGATCAGAAATTTATTCTCTCACGATTTAGGAGGCTACAAGTCTGAATTCAGGGTGCCAGTTCTAGGGGAAGGCTTTCTCTGTCAGCTCTGCGGGAAGGTCCTTATCTCCTTTCAATGTCTGTGGGCCCAGTGTTGCTTGGAGATCAACATGTGTCTTGGCATCGTCTTCCCCTGACCTATGAGGGTCTCAGCACAGGGACCCCAGGCCCAAAGGATGCATTCTGCTCCTGGCTCTTCTTTCTTGATGATAGTCAGGTTCCCCCACCTCTCTGCTCACTTCTCTCTCCTTTTATCTCTTGTAAATTAAAGGTGATACAGACCATACCCCAGGGAAACTCCCCTTACATTAGATCAGGGCTGTGACCAGATTGAGGGTCCATGACTTAATTAAGGGTAATGCATCCCACCCTAATCCTGCTTCATTAACATAACAAGAAAACTAATCCTATTTAACATAAACTAATCTTGCCTCATTCACCACAGGCATAGGTTAGGATTTACAACACATCACAAAATAGAGTATAAAGAATATTGAGAATCATGGCCTAGCCAAATGTATACATATTTTGGGGGAGGAGGATGTCACAACATGATCCATGACAATATGTTAAACATGTCTGAATAGCATGTAATAGCATTTTTCTGAACAGAACATTTTCAGTTTTGTCAGTTCTCCAAAAGAGTCTATATATATCATTGTCTCTGTTCCCTAATGCTGCCATAACACAAATACCACAAGTAAGTGGCTTTAAAGAACAGAAATTTCTTTTCTCACAGTTCTGGAGGCTAAAAGTTCAAATCAAGGTCTCAACTGTGTTAATTCTTTCCTTGTAGGAACTCCCAGTCTTTGGTTTGGTTTATAGATGATCCTCACGTGATGTCTATCTTCCTCTGTGTGTGCATCTGCATCTAATGTGCTCTTTTTTTAATAACTCAGAAGTGATTAAATTTAGAACCCACCTTACTTGGATATGATCTTATTAACATAACACGTTGTTGTTGTTAGAAGCTGTTGAGTCGATTCTGACTCATAGTGACCCTGTGCACAACAGAAGGAAACACTGCTCTGTCGCACCATCCTCACAGTCCTTGCTATGCTTGAGCCCATCCTTGCAGCCACTGTGTCAATCCATCCCATCGAGGGTCTTGGTGGCATAGTGGGTAAGGCATTTGGTTGCTAAGCCGAAGGTTGGTGGTTCAAACCTACCAGCTGCTCCATGGGATGAACATGAGGCAATCTACTTCTGTAAAGATTTACAGCCTTGGAAACCCCATGGGGGTTGCTATGAGTCAGAATTGACTTGATGGCAGTGGGTTTGGTTTTAAACACAACATAGAAACTCTATTTCCAAACAGGATTATATCCATGGATATAAAGGTTAGGATTCTAACACATATTTTAGGAGGATGCAATTTAATCCTTTCCAACAGTCATGTGAAGAACTACTGCCTGTAAGAAGCCTGGCAAAAGGAAATTAGAAGAAGACACAAGAAAAGCTCAAGTTACCAAGAAAGAAGGATGGACCATACTTTCAGGAAGCCTTTTCAAATTTATTTCACCTACTTGTTTGTATTCCTTTACTCTATAACTTTATGGGCATTTATGAGCTTAATGTATATGCTCTTCTTTGGTATCATATCCATTTTGCTCTGTAATGTCTTTGTGTCTTTCACATATTTAGAGGTTTGTATCTTACATCCTGCATTTTAATCTCCTTGATTTGTAATATGCTGTATCTTTGAGTTTCCAATATAGCCCTCTCCTTAGCACCGCTCTTTGGAAGTCTACTCTTTACAATTTAAGATTTCAACCTTTCGTGTGAGAATTGCCTCCTTCTAAGTATTGAATCTTTAGTAGAAATATCTCTTAAGAAATAAATTTTGCTTCTTTACTTCACCTCATCTTAGAAAAATAATTCAGTTCCCTCTGGGTAGACATCAACTTAATTGATCTAACACAGAAACAAAAAGGCTTATACTGTGTGAATGGGAAAAACCCCAGAAAAAGCAAACCCATTGCCATCAGTTTGATTCTGATTCAATTCAGAATATACCACAGAGGACAGGGTAGAACCGCCCCTCAGGGTTTCCAAGACTCTAAATCTTTGTAGAAGCAAACTGTCACATCTTCTCCTGTGGAGTAGCTGGTGAGTTCAAACCACCAGCCTTTTGGTCAGCTGCCAAATGCTTTAAACACTACACCATGCATCAATGCATTGTAAACAGGTTCAGGAATACTTTAAGACTTTAACCCTCTCAGTCAGCTGTGTTTTAAAGAGCTAACGGTTTTGGGGTTTTTTGTTTTGTTTTGTTTTGTCACTAAAGACTCAGATTTACATATAAATAACTTGCTCTGTTTTTGTTTTCCTAGGGCCCAAAAGGCCTTGCTGGACAGCCTGAATTTTCTGTATGTATCTCTTTATGCACTACACCAAAACCAACCTGTCCACTGTGAAATAAATAGGGCCACTCAGAGGTCTCTGCTCATGTTTCTTCTCTGTTTGTTTTTTTTATTTACAGCATTGTGAGCTGATCCAGTTTGTGAGGAATCACAGTTGTGAGTATCTGTCTGATGTTTCAGAACAAGAGCATCCGTGATTGCTGAGGGTGCTTAGCACAGACCTGAGTATGGGCATGCAGAATCAGTGGGCTACATTTACGAATGGCTTGTTCTGAGAGATTCTGTAGGAAGATCTCATATCAAAGGTGGGAGGAAAAGAGATATACGGTAAATAAAGATACGTGCCTTTGCACAAGAAGTGTGATTCACACAGGGAGCAAAACCATCAATATGTGAAACAAGACCAACTCTAGCATAGTGCCTAAGGCACTTGACTGCTAACCAGAAGGCTGGCGGTTCAAACCCACCAGCCACTCCTCAGAAGGAAGGTTGGGCAATCTACTTCCGTAGTGCTACTGCCTCAGAAACCCAAGGAGGGGTCGCTATGAGTCAGGGCCGACTTGATGGCACATAACAACAACAACAAAGTTGTGTGGATTAGCTCACATGTGTCTAACAGTTAAGGGGCTCTGGTGGGACAGTGGTTAAGACATTTGTCTGCTAACCAAAAGTTGGTAGTTCGAACCTACCAGCCATTCCATAGAAGAAAAATGAGGTAGTCTGCTTCCTTAAAGATTTACAGCGTTGGAAACCCTCTGGGGGTTGCTATGAGTCAGAATGAACTCGATGGCAATAAATTTGGTTTGAGTATAATAATCACATGAAAAAGGACTGAGTGGCCATATGGTAAATGCACAAACATGGGGGTTTAGGATAGGTTGGTAATTAGTTAGCCAATTAGTTGAGGAAGTCTGCTTAAAACAAGCAAACTAATAATAATAAAACCTGTTGTTGATTCAATTCTGACTGGTGACTCATCTTACCTTCTAGAACTGCTATGTAGTGAGTGTTTTCTTTGCTGTAATCTTTCCAGAAGCAGGGCTTTTTTCCATGGTACCACTGAGTGGGTTCAAACCTCCAACCTTTAGGTTAGTAGCTGAGTGCTAACCATTTGTGCCACCCAAGGACCTAAGGAAGGCTCTTTGGAGGGAGATAATTGACGGGGAGCAACAATAAAATAGTTTCAGCAAAGGAATAAAGCAGGAGTCAACAGAGATGTCTTTGGTTCTGAAGAAGGGGAAAATGAGATAGTAAGGGCACAGTGATTTTATTTCTGAAAACGTATCCTAAGCAAATAGTGTAAAAGAAAGAAAAAATTACATGAAAGATGTTTATTGAAATACTGTTCATTGGAATCAAATGATTATACATTTAGATTATTTATAATTATAAAATAATTAGGCTATGATACATCATTTTCTTGATGAAATATTAAGCAGATGTGGTTTTTATGAAGATTCTATCAGAATATGGAAAAATATTGGCATTAAAAGCAGAAAATTAAATTGAATCCTACTATGATTACATTTAGATAAATATATGTAAACATAGAATAAGTACTAGAAGCAAAAATAGAAAAAATGTTAAAGTGTGTTGTATTAGGGCGATAGAACTGTAGGTGATTTATCTTCTTATGTTTCCATAACATAAATAATAATCCTTATATAATCACACTTGGAAGAGGAGAAAATTCGAGAAACTTTACTGAAGGAGAATGGATAAAATGTAGTGAGTACAAGTATACAGAAGGGAAATAACAGTGAAAAGTTTAAAATAACTGTAACACTAGAGGGGAGAGGCTTATCACAGTGGATGAGTAGGCAGGGGAAGAACTGTGAAGAGAAATCAATTGGTAGAAAAAGATGATGGGTTTAAACATTTTAGAAACAGCCAAGGATTGTGTAGGCCCTAAATTAAAATGACCTACAGCAGCTAATTAAAAAGTGTAGGAGTCCCTGGGTGGTGCAAACAATTAAGTGCTCAGCCACTAACTGAAAGGTTGCTGGTTCAAGTGCACCCAGAGGCACCTCAAAGGAAGAGCCTGGCTATCTGCTTCCAAAAACGCAGCCACTGAAAACCCTATGGAGTGCAGCTCTACTCAGGGGTTTGCCATGAGTCAAAATCGAAGGTGCAGGGTCAGAGAAGGAGACTCAGATGTTCTAGTCACTCAAGTGCTCATAGTTTTTAAAACCACTGGATAGATAAGGTTCCTAATGGTATGAAATCAAAGAGTCAGAAACAGAAACTCAAGGGATGCACTCAGGCAGATGCCTTGAGAGAAGGAATGGGGCCAAAGTACAGAAAAATGGCACCCCATAGATGGGGGAAAAATAAAACCCAAAGGTCCCTGCCCTCAAGTTGATTACAACTCATAGTGACACTATATGACAGAGTAGAACTCCCATAGGGTTTCCAGGGTTGTAAATCTTTATGGAAGCAGACTGCCTCATCTCTTTCCCACTGAGCAGCTGTGGGTTTGAACTACCAACTTTTCGGTTAGCAGCTGAGCACTTTTAACCACTGCGTCACCCAAGAGAGAGAGATCGGAAAGTTCTGCTAAATGTGGGCAACTTTAAAGTAAACAAACAGAAGCCAGTGGAGAGAAACTTCAAAGGAAGTAGGTATGTGTGAAGGACAGTGAGAGGTAAAAAAGCCTCTTCTGAATCCACGAGGAGGTGAAACAAGGACCATGGGCAGAGGAAACAGGGGAGAGGTATTGTAGAGAAAATTAGTGTGGTGATCAAACTCCCTCACCACATTACCAGTCTTCTCAGAGAAATCAATGTCTTCTCAAGAAAGACAGAAAGTAGATGAAAGGGGCTAGAGAGTAAAGATTGGCCATTGGAGGGTTTGGGATTTGAAGGAAGGTGTTTTCTAACACTGAACGAAAAGAATCAGCTGGGAAATTAAGGGGGCAAGGGAGAATGGGCAGATTCTATCACCAGACTCAGTGCTGATTGGACAGCATGGAATTCCAGACCAGACCTCGAAACAGAGATAAGAATTGGGTGATAGACCTTTGAATCTAATTCAAACGGCCTCACTTTATAAATGAGGCTGGTGAACTTGGACTTCTAGTCTATTATTGTTCATGCTTCAGTTCCACAGGTGCTCTCTGCCACACAGAGATGAGGATCTGTGTCCTGAGCTGGTAGCTGGGATGTTCCTCTGAGAATAAAATAAAAGATCTAGGAGGAATAGGGGGAGGGAATAAAGTAGGAGGACCTGATGGGCTATAGTTTTGGAGGGAGAGACATAAGTAAAGAGGATTTTTTTTGGGGGGGGAAGACAGGAAACACACACACACATTAAAAGAGGTCAAATGATTTACCCAAAGACACCTCAGTTTTGCCAAACTCAAACCCAGGCAGGTGTGGTGTGTCTACTTCCAAAGTCTGTCTTCTGACCGCAAAGCTAAGCTGGAGGTTAACAAATGAAAGTTCTCAGTTAGAAAAAGGGCCGTTAGATGTAGAGGAGGCAGTGGGCTATGTGTGCGTCTGCTGTCTTCTAACCCCATGTACGGCAGGGTAGAACTATGCTCCATAGAGTTTTCAATGGCTGATTTTTTTGGAGTAGATTGCCAGGCCTTTCTTCCAAGGTATCCTGGGTGGCCTCAAACTAGCACCCTTTTGGTTAGCAAACAAGCCCATTAACTATTTGCACCACCCAGGGACTCCTGGCCACAGGATTAAATCAAACAAAAGATTTGCTACAAGGGGAGCATGCACTGGCTGGCAGGATGGAAGGCCAGTTTGTTGCCAGGGTTAATAAAAGCTTTTGTTACAGTGACTCATTTCTTTCCTAGGAATTGAGTAAAATGAACATGGAAATTGTCAGGCCTCTGCCTTCTTAAAGATTTACCATTTTCCCCCTGATTAGTCTCTAGCTTAGAGTAAATCACTTAGAGAGACCAGATGCTATATTGCTAGGGAGAAACTCTTGGGACTTTTCCCTCCTGTCTGTGTGGGTGTGGAGATCATAGAACAGAGGAGCTATATTTTGCAGCAGAGAAAAAAGTTCATTTGGAAATCTTCACAGTTCCAAAAGAAAATAGAGATTCCCAAGGTGTTTGTTAAGGAAGAAAATAAGCCCCCATATTTTAGCTTCATGTTCCTGAATGACTCTCAGAAGGCCATAAGCAGAGAGACAGAACAAATTGAATTTTCACTATCTTGCCATTTAATCAAAAGCTCACCTATTCTGTTTCCAAGACAAGTGATCGATGTTTCTGATTTCAAGCAAAATTCTGCTAAAGTTGGCTGGCCGATGGCTCACAAGAGGAGAAGGTCAGGGAGGTTCACAATTTAATAAAATTCTGCGGACATTTTCCTCAGTCTTTAACCTTGGCTTCTTGTAATTTAGGATTAGCCTCATTTGCAATTAGAGGTGAATAAAAATATTAAGCTTTGCTGAAATTTTATTGTTTGGATTATTTTTAGTTTGTGTTTCAAAAATGTAACTGACTCTTCTCTCTTTCTCCTTTTTATAGCTTGTTGGAAAGGTGAGTATTCTTAACCATATTATGTTCCTTGCTGAAATAATTACTGCATTCTGACAAGAACCCTTTTGAAAGAAAGAAATCTTTACCTCTTTGAGATCAAGGATTTCTTTATTCTCTGCCAACACATTAGTCATCTGAATGTGACAGTTAATGTAATTTTTTTTTTTATGTGTGTCAGCCTGATGGTAAAAGCCAATGGTGATCCCCCAGCCCCCAGCCTCTTGACCCTGTTGTTTTTTCTATTTCCTGTCGAGGTTTACAACTTAGTTTCTTCACAGAGGAGGCCTCTGTTACTGGGGAATTCAGTGAACAGGGTTCTCTCTCTGACTGATCCTCGTTCTGTTACTCTGTTTACTGTGAAACCAGTTAACACTGGCTTCTTGGGCATGTTTCCTTTCCTCCCTGGGACTCACATTCACACTTTCATCTCACCAAAGGTCAACCACTTGTAAACCTCACCCTGCCCATGCTTGTTTCTCTAGGGGCTAGACTGCAGTGGTGTTACATGGCACAATGTTTTAGATGGCGTGGTTATCGAAGCCAATATGTCAACTTCAAGAGCTCCTTGTTTCCTAGAGGCCTGTGAAGTAAACCCACAGGTCTTTGACCTTGTTCCAAAGTACAGAGCCATCCACTTTAACACAGGGTGGGGGGTGGGGGAAGCCTTGCACATACTAAGTCCTCAATAAAAAAAACTTCATGGATTTAAATTTATTAGGTAACCTGCTGGCCACTGATATACCCATTGCCATCAAGTTGATTCTGACTCATAGCAATCCTACAGAACAGAGTAGAACTGCCACTTAGGGTTTCCAAGGCTATAATCTTTAAGGAAGATATATTTGGAATTGCTGGTGGGTTCAAACCACCAACTTTTTGGTTAGCAACTGAATGCTTAACCATTGTGCCACAAAGACTTCTTGATACTGGGGTAGGAGGAGAATGAAAACAAATAGGATTAGGTTCTTCCCTTCTGGGAGAATCTGTTATGTTAGGTCAGTCTCAAAGATACTTGTCTTCCACTTCAGTTATTTTCAGTGAAAGTTTAAGAAATTCTCCTTATTCTATTGTTTATTATTCATTTTAAAATAAATAAATATATTTCAATTCCTTGATTCAAAACACATCAATACTTCCTCTCTATTTCTATTACTGAGAGCAGTGGTTGGGGTGTGGGAGATTTTGAGTTTACAGTGCCTTGGGACTTAACTAGTTTGAGGGTAATAGAACAGATGAGGTGCTCATTATAAATTTTTAAAATTCTTTTTTCTCTTCCTGTGTTCAGAGTTTAAACAAGTTAGGTTATGTTAGACTAGATATGATACATAGGTCGGATACCCTATGAAGTTCCTAATGTTCAAACATCCTATGACTATTAGTATGGAGTTGGGAATAGCAGGCAGACCCATTTTTATAATAGCTCGCTGCAAGCCTGGCTTGTTCCATGCTAGTCTCTTTCTCCTGGAATGAAACCATGGCTTTCATTCAAAAGCTGGCTTTCAGGAAGCCCCTGGGATACTCCCTGATTGGAAACAGTCCTCTGTATCCCCATTCAGAGTACCAGCCATCCTATAAGCCAAAACCAAACTCACTGCTGTCAAGTGGAACCCGACTCATAGCGACCCCTCCTTGGGTTTCCGAAGGGGTATCACTATGGAAGCAGATTGCCCAACCTTCCTTCTGAGGAATGGCTGGTGGGTTTTCTCCACCAAAGCTTCTAACCTATACTTTATATTATAATGACCCTCCCTCAATTTAAGTTCCTTGAGGGCAGACCTGTATTTGACTCATCTTTGCATATGTTGGGTACTCGATAAACATTTGCTGCATAAACAACACAACGCACTGGCATTGGACTCATAGCAACCCTTTCTTGGGTTTCTGAGGCGGTATCACTATGGCAGTAGATTGCCCAACCTTCCTTCCAAGGAGTGACTGGTGGGTTTGAACCACCAGCCTTCTGGTTAGCAGTCAAATGCCTTACGCACTACTCCACCAGAGCTCCCTAAAGGGATAAAAATCTTCCAACTGACTATGACTTCATTTCTGAAGATTTTTGGTAGAGTGGATTTTCAAAATCCCCCAATATACTGCAACGTCCTTCCTGTAATGGACACACAGGAAAATTCACATTTTGTTTGTGTGGACAGTTCTAAGTTTTATGCAACCACTACACCAATCAGGATACAGAACTGTTCCATCAGCTCCAAAACCTCCTGTAATTCCCTTTAAAACAGCAGACTACAGTGGGCTGTGAGGTCCGAGCATTATTGTTGTAAAATATATCAAGCCCTGCATTTAGGTAACACCTTCATGTTTACAAAGCAGATTCTCTCCCTTCCTTTGCACATGGGAATCTTTAGTTCTAGAACTGGATAAAACATTGGATTTTCCTAGACTTTGGTGAGAGTCTTACTGGCATAAAGGATCTGGGAGAGGCTTTGATCCATTGAAGTAACTTAATTCTTCTTCTCATTTTAGCAGAAAGGTGTCCGGTGTATCCAACAGAGCTGGTGTTTGCCCTAGACCAGTCCTATGACATCACAGAACAGAGATTTAATGAAACAAGGGACATCATCATTTCTCTTGTGAATGACCTGAACATCAGGGAAAATAATTGCCCTGTGGGAGCAAGAGTTGTTGTGGTTTCATACGACTCAGACACCAGCTACCTCATCCGCGGGTCCGACTATCATAGCAAGAAGCAACTCCTCCAGCTTCTTTCCCAAATAAAATATCAGATCCCCACAAAAGCCCAAGACATTGGCAATGCAATGAGGTTTGTTGCCCGGAATGTTTTCAAGAGGACACATGCAGGAGCCAACATGAGGAGAGTTGCTCTGTTTTTCAGCACTGGCCAAGCAGTCAACAAGTTGCCCATCATCACAGCCACCATGGAGTTTAGCGCCCTTGATATCAGTCCAGCTGTCTTTGCTTTTAACGAAAGAGACTTCCTTGATGAGGCTTTTGGGGTAAGAACTGTCCTTGAGAATTTCTTCATTGTTAAGGGTGTGGTATGGGTAGGGCAGGATGGGAGTGGGGGAGATATGGGGCCTCTTGATGTCCTTTTCAGTTTTACAGCTGTATTGTTGCCAAACCAAACAACCCATTGCCATTGAGTCAATGCCAACTCATGGGGATCCCATGCACGTCACAGTAGAACTGCATTCCAGGTTCTCAATATCTTTAATCTCACAGAAGGCAGATCACCAGGCCTTCCTTTTGCACAGCTGGGTGGATTTGAACTGCTAACCTTTTAGTTACCAGCTGATTGCAAGCCACTGTGGCACCCATGGACTGTGAGTTGTTGCCAGGGTACATGAAATACAATAGCTAATAATAGCAGGAGTTAATAATAATAGAAGCCACATTTGTTCAGCTCCTGCCTGTGCCAGGCACTATCCTGAGAGCTTTACATGCATATTCATAGAGTCTCACAACTCTCTGAACTGACTGCAGTTATCTCCATTTCACAAATAAGGAAATCGAGGCCCAGAGAGTTCAAGTGACTCATCCAGTTTTGCACATGTAGTAAGTGGCTTAATCAAGATCCAAACACAGATTGGTCTTGTATAAAAGGCCATGAATGCAGTACTCTGCCAGCCCTGGGCTGGCCTGGGGCCTCTCAGATTTGTCATCTGCTTGCTGTTATCTCATTAAACAGCTGGCATTATCCTGCATAGATGAAGTTCAGGAGATTTTTTGACCCCTGAAGGTGTGCAAAACATTTGGTATATATGAACATTTTCCCCAAAAGAGGGTCTACCACTTTTTAGATCCATAGATTTTCAATGATCTATGCTGTCCTCCCTCTCCCCAAAAAATGTTAAGAACCTCTCCAGACAGTGTTACAATCCAATTATCCATGAAATGCATGCTCCTGGAGCTAGGCAAGTGTATCATGTCATTAAAGAGGTTAAAAAATCTATTTTCATACTAAGACATATTTTTCTTCTATGAAATGAAGACAACACCCCCTGTAGCATGGAGAGAATTGATCTGCTCATAACATAACAAAAAATTTTTTTGGAAACAAGGACCAAAGGGTGAGTTATAATAGAGCCTGACAAAAAGGACTGTAGAAAGTCTTGTGGTTTTCAGTTTCTCTTTTGGAAATTTTTCTGCCTTCCTGATTTTGCTCCCTGGGAGAAACAAATGGCATTTGAGTTTTGAGGCTGCATCAAATTCTACAATAGGCCAAGTATGAATAGGTTATCAGTACAATCTCTTATTTACTGGACCATACCCAAACTCCTCTGAATCATCAACAGAAAAGAACCTCAAGCCATTCTTGGTTAACAGATCATTTTTAATGTGCACCATCTCTCTGCAGAGTAACTGACCCAGGAAGCTATCCACTTCTTACCATGTCCAGTATTGCCAGATTCCATATGTTAGTTCTGGTCATGGTGCTTGAACAGTGTTCCCTTTAATCATTTTCTATGCATCACTGTCTCTATGCTCTTCTCCTCTTAGGATTTTCTGCCCACTCCTCCTGGCCTCTCTCCTCTTCTCCACCCTCTTCAACAAGGCCTTGCTGCCTGGGCACTGAAGACACAGAGCTTGCCACCAGGGGGTCTGTTTCCCGACATACTTACTAAAATTGGACTTTATCTATCAAGCTTTTTAAATTTTTGCCAATCTGATAGGTAAATAAGATGCATTTTTTTGTGTGTGTGTTTAAACATTTTTTCATATATTTATTGGCCATTTTTATTTTCTTATGAAACCGCCAGCTCATGTCCCTTGTATCACTTATTTTTTGTACTGCTTCCTTTGGCAATCCTACTTTAAAATACTTCGTGTTATTTATCTATTTATTTATATCTGGACCCTGCCTCAACTAGAATTTAAATCTTAATGTCCCACTGGTGTTCTAGAAATTTCTAAAATTTCTAAAGCTCAGGCAAGTTGAACCTCCATATATCTGATTTTCTCTGCAGAATATAGATTTTTAAATATTTTCTCTTATGATGTTGGACAAAATGGACAGTTTTATCAGGTATTTATGGTCCCTTAAAATATTACCCACCCACTGCTGTAGAGTAGCTTCCAACACATAGAGACCCTATAAGACCGAGTAAAACCACCCCATAGTGTTTCCAAGGCTGTAATCTTTCCAGAAGTAGACTGCCACATCTTTCTCCCACAAAGCAGCTGGTGTGTCCCAACTGTCAACCTTTTAGATTGTATCCAAGTGCTTTAACCACCGTGCCACCAGGGCTCCTCCTAAAGTGTTAGAGTTGTAACTGGAAGAAGTCCACTCTCTACTACAGGTCAATTTTTGCCTTCCAATCAGAAAAATTTTAAATGACCCAACTTTTCACTTCAGCTACTGCCCCATTTCTTGCTTAGAAAAACCAAAAACCAAACTCACTGTCATTGAGTCTATTATGACTCATGGCAACCCCCATCTTTCTGCCACGGAGCAGCTGGTGGGCTCGCACCACCAACCTTCGGATTAGCAGTCAAATGCCTTAGGCACTACGTCACTAGAACTCCTTAAGGAAATCTTCTAGGGGGAAAAATAATTATCAGTCTTTTCTGTTCTCACAACCTTTCATTGCTTCCCCTAGAACTTTTATGCCCTGACAATTTCCTGTGCCTGAAACACTTCCCCCAGCTAGGGCTCCCTCCCTCTCCACCTTTGAGTTTTTGCTTAAATGACACTTTCTCAGTGGGTTCTATTTAAAATTTCACCCCCAGCACTTCCCATCCCTGTTACTCTACTTTATTATTTTTTTTTTTCTATAAAAATGTATCACTTCCCAACATGCTAGGGGATTTATTCGTTTTATTTCTATATCCTCAGCATCTAAAATAGTATCTATAATATTGTAGGCATTCCATAAATATTTGTGGAATAAATAGATTGAATAAATGAAAAATGTCACTCCCCTGAACTTTCTGCTTCACTAAGGCACCAGTTAGTATTTACATGAGGAACTAACAAGGCCAAAACCAAAATAACACCCCAAAGCAGCTGATTTCACACAAAAGAGAGTGGTAATGGAGTAAATACTTTCTAACCATAAGACTGGAATGATTTTTAACTATTTCCAAATGCTCACTGAGCACTTTACTGAAAAGTAAAGCATGTGGCATGTGGCGTTTCTAGTCCTTTAATTTTCCGAGGGAGAGAGAGAAAGCATGAGCATCTCTGTGGATTGAGAGATTCCCTCACCACCACCTGGGAAGGGTTGATTTCTTCAAATATAATAGAAGCGTCTGCCTTGCATGGTGCCACAAAAAGAGTAAATGCCCGCCAAATAGTTACTGACTCACTGAATGAATAAATGAATGCTATATATTGCCCATTTCAGTGAGTATTAAAGCAAAGGAGTGATCAAGAAACAGATGGCAAGCAAGCAGTGTACGAACAAGTATTTTGAATAGACTTAGTATTTTCTCTCTGCTGCCTTTTGAAGTAGGCTTTTAATTTAATCTGTGATTGGGAATATCCACTTGACATCTGAAGGATGTGGCTTCTTCTAGACGATGTACTTGAGGTGGAAATAGGTGGGGTCACTATTTAAAGAGGCTGAAGGAAACTTAGGGTAACCTTTCTGCAGGGCCCAACTTCTGAAGTGGTGTAGGTTTAGAAGGATGTGAAAAAGTCATGGTAGAATTGCTGCCTTGACAATGTTTTGAAAATGAGAGTTAGAAAATCTTAATTCTAGTCTGAATCTGCTCAGGTTATCTTATGGTAGTTTTCTCCTCATAAAATGGGGAGTATTTAGCCTTATTTTCCATACTTCTTTGGGTTATTTTCAGGATTAAAGGGAGATATGTGTGTGTGTGTGCGTGCGTGCGTGTGTGTGTATGTATGGAATAGAACAGAGGGCTATAACGCAAGGCAGTGGTGTTTAGTTGGGTGCTTTTCAAATTAACCCTTAAAGTAGGTGGACAAAACCAAACCAAACTCCCTGCCGTCGAGTCAGATCCGACTCATAGCAACCCTCCTTGGGTTTCCGAGGCAGTATCTCTACGGAAGTAGATTGCCCAACCTTCTTTTCTAGGAGTGGTCCAAACCCACCAGCCTTCTGGTTAGCAGTCGAATGCCTTGGGCACCACGCTACTAGAGCTCCCTAAAGTAGGTGGACAGTGGCTTCTTAATGACTGCTAGTGAAAATGACTAACCAAGCATCTACTTCTTTTTCAATGCAGTTTGACAACACTGGGACATTTCAAGTGATTCCAATCCTACCAAATGAGGACTATGACCCATTAGAAAGACTTTGGCACTGTACACTTTGCTATGGTAAGACTAATGAGAAGAATATTATTGTGCTGAAACGCCTTTTTGGTTAGCTGTTGAATCTGACTTTATCAAAGATTTAGTTTGATTGCAGGTTCCATTTTCAGTTTTCCAGTATCAGATGTCAGGGTTTCTATTTCTATGATGTTTGGAGTTTCCAGAAAAAGTAAAAATTGGTTTAGAAGATTAGCATGTCTTTTGGGTGGATGCTACTTTGTTGGTATGCATCAAAAACCTGTCAAAAATATTGAAACTATGTTTTGACTGAAGTTAGACATGACTTGTAGACTTCAAGTATACATGCCACCTGCATCTTCTTTCACTAACAAAATCCCCACGTTTTCCTCTAATGGCCACAGAAATGCTGGAATATTGAAAACTTTTCATTTAAATGATGTGATATTGAACAAGTACTGTTCAGATTATTAATTTTGGGTAATTAGTCATTGAATTACTTGAAGAAGATCTCAAACAACAGTGTTTTGTTATGCCAACATTGAACCAATGAGTCTCTTTTTATGTTTTCAGATAAATGTCTTCCAAATACTTGCATCAAAGAGGTTGTTTTACCTGAAAATTCATACATGGATGTAGCTTTCCTCTTAGACAATTCTCAAAATATAGCAAATGATGAATTTAAGGCAATGAAGATATTGCTGAGCTCAGTGCTTGACAACTTTGACATTGCCTCAGACCCTTTAACTTCAGACTCTGGTGACAGGATTACCTTGCTGAGCTATTCTCCTTTGGATAGAAGAAGGAAAAGTACGGTGAAAACAGAATTTGAGTTTACACAATATAGCAATTCAGTACAAATGAAGACACACATCCAGAATTCCCTTCAGCAGCTCAATGGAGAAACTACCATTGGCCAAGCCCTACAATGGGCCATGGAGAAACTCTTCTCAGGAACACCCAACCTAAGAAAATATAAAGTCATCTTTGTGGTCTCAGCTGGAAAAAATATTGAGAGAAAGGAATTCTTAAAGAAGATGGCTCTGAGGGCCAAGTGTCAAGGCTATGCCATATTTGTCATTTCCTTGGGCTCTACACATAAGGATGACCTGGAGGAGTTAGCCAGCTACCCACTTGAACACCATCTGATACAGCTTGGGAGGATTCATAAACCAGATCTGGACTATGTTGTGAAGTTTATTAAGCCATTTATATATGTAATAAGACGTAAGTCATTTTGTTGTTTCTCTTAAATTTGATAAGAAGGTAGTGTATGTTAATAGTTGATAAGCTAATTTATCTTTTCAGCTACTACTAATCCAAATACGTGAATTAGATGGGGAGATGTGGGTGGGCAATGGGACATATCCTGGTTGTACCCTTTTCTCATGGTAGGTTCCCTTAGCCAAAATCTCAGCACCAAGAAGTGACTGGAGGTCTCTTGACCCACTCTCTCTCAACCTGAAGAAGTTCCAACAGCTCTTAGATGATCTCCAGTATTAACATTTAAATAAAAGTTTTATCTGCTACACCTGGTTTATTTCCAGCCTTCGCACACCGTGGAGACCTATATGAGAGTATAAAGATAACACAGTCCTGTGCTCCTCCCAAAGAGTCTGAGCACACAAATCACCTGTTGTTGTGTTGTTGTGTGCCGTCAAGTCGGACCTAACTCATAGTGACCCTTCCTTGAGTTTCCGAGGCAGTATCACTACGGAAGTAGATTGCCTCATTTTCCTTCCGAGGAGTGGCTGGTGGGTTTGAACTGCCAGCCTCCTGGTTAGCAGTCAAATACCTTAGGCACTACGCCACCAGAGCTCCCACAAATCACCTAGGAATCTGGCTAAAGTACAGGTCCTGATTCAAGATGTCTGGTGTAAAGCCTGGGATTCGGCATTTGTAACAAATTTCCCACTCATGCTATTCACGCTGGCTAATGGACCACACTTTGAGTAGCAAGGCTGTAGGCCAGTGCAAAATAAACCATCATCCATATATGGATGTCAGTCCACAAACTGTTTATTACTGGTCTGTGAAAAGATAAGCACAGAAATTGAAAGTAAGCATCTAGAAACTTTTAAAGCAATTTGTTGTTGCTGCAACATTCGAGTGCATGATCAATGAACTCTGCCTCATTGAACAGGACATAGACCAAAACTATCAGTCTGCAAATCATTAGAAATAAAAATGCCTTGTCTTTCACCGCAAATAGTTTTGAGAAATGTTCTTTCAGAGCAGTGGTTCTCAACCAGAGTTGACTTTTTCCCCCAGGGGACATCTAGCAACATCAGGAGATATTTTTGTTTGTCACAGGCCCCACCACTCCAAATGCCAATATTACTGAGGTCAAGAAACTCTGCTGTAGAAGATTCCATAGTATCAGAACTGAACCTGTCTGAGAATCTGACAGTTTTAGAGTCTGCTGGAACCATCCCACCATGCTAGAATCCAAAAGTTGTCCTGGTATTCAAGGAGTCTCCCACCACCACCACAATGACCTTTTCTTGTGACTTGTATGCAGTTGGAGAATCCAACAGTTGCCCTCTTGGGCAACTACTGTATTTCATTAGATCTAAGACGCCCTCAATTGTAAGATGCACCATTATTTTATGTACAAAGAAAGGAAAAAATGCCTTCAATGAATTTTGATACAAACTTTCCTGTTATTTTATATGATCATTTTATAGCAATTGAAAGGGTTTCTTTTTAGACTTAAACTAAATATATCATTGTTATGCATACATAAAAAAGAAAAGATAAGTGAAATAGACTGGTTAAGACATTCCTAAAACAACTTCTCATTTAGAATTTGACACTTGTGAAATGCCTTTTGACTCAGAATCACCAATATCCCCCTTTTTTCCCATGTAATATTGTTCTGTGTGTCATCAAGAAGGCTGTTGATGCAGCATTTTTAAGACTATAAAATAACTCAAAACGGGTGATGCTGAGCTCTTATGTGGCTTTGCAGCTATGTATCACCAGCTTACTTTTTTTTAAATTTTTATTGTGATTTGGGTGAAAGTTTACAGAGCAAATTCATTTTCCATACAGCACTTCATACACATTTTGTCTCATGACATTGACTGCAATTTCCCGCAATGTAACAGCTCTCTTCCCACTTCCTCCCCGTAGTTACCTCTTCCCTGTGTCCTTCCCTCCCATGTACTCCCATCCCCCAAGCTGTCTCCCTGTGCATGCACAGGTCTGCTGATCTGCCATGATTGATCTGATGGCTCCAAGTAGTGTATCTACCTTATGTAAATGTTCAGCGCATATGCCTGTATATAATTTGGCTGGAAGCCAGGGGAGTAAGTTCAATCCCTGAAGGGTAGCTAGGGGTTATAGTCTCAGTGGTCTTACCAGGCTCTATTAGACCAGCAAACCTGGTCTGTTGGGGTTTTTTTAATGATTTTGAGTTTTGTTCCACACTGTCCTCCCACTCTATCCACCGCCAGCATACTTTTGACTCTCAATGTTGTCAAGCACATCTAAGTCACTGCCTTCCCACCTAGTTCATAGGTTTCTAAAGACTCCTCCACTAATACTTCTGGGAATTTATTCCAAACGGCTGACCCTGGTTTTACAATTTCTGGTGCTGGCACTTTTGATATTCCTGCATGCACAGGCAATAACACTACATCAGAGTTCCTGCCTTACCAACACCAAGTGTCAGATTGATTAGAATTGATTAGAAATCACATTCTCATTTCAGAGAAATAGGAAAAAGGAAAAAAAATCATCTTAAGTCAGAGAAATATGATCATTGTAAAACCAAAGAATTCATGATATTTTCCTGGAGGCTTAGGTTGTTCAATGGTCAAAGGCCTCCTTTAACTAAAAACAGTGTATTTTCATTTAAAAAGAAGGGGGCAGGGATGATATACTTCTCGATATTCCACAGCTTACAGAACATCAGGAAGGGAATAAAGTGACATATTATTCAGACCTGTAAGCTTTCTGTGATTCTTTTCCTGCTATGAAATGGTGTTAATTGGAGTAGACGCACAAAATACCACGATGGAATCAAATGTTACCTTTTTAAAATTTGATCCAGTAGCATGAGTCTATATTCATTTATGTGGAGAGAGTCAGAATAAAATTTCCTTTTTGTTACATTGGTCTGAGCATGCAAAATCATGTGTCCCTGCATCATTATTAGCCCTTAAATGAATAATTTGAGAAAGTCTCTTTCCTCTTGTGACCCTGGCAATTCTTTGGCTGCTAAAGCACTCTAAAATCAAGTTTTGAGTGCTTTTTCTACCTTTGCTATTTTCACATCAGCCAAATTTTACTATTTTAGTGACATGCATTGCTTCAAGAGGATTTCTGTTGGGATTCACTTTATGCAGCAAATGTAATTTCCAGTTTAGAAATCTAACTATAACTCTGCTCTCTCAATAGGAGGATTTAATCAGTATCCACCACCAATGCTTGAGGATGCCTGTAGACGCCTGAGTTCAGAAGAGGATTTTCAAAATGGCTATCTCCAGTGAGTTGAAAAGCTCTTACATTTACAAGTGACTGCTAATTGACTGATGGATATCTAACTGGCTGATGACAGGTTCTTAGGTCAAGGAAGCGAACAGGTCTCTGAAGTAAAGGCTCTTCACATGTTCCATTTTTCTGTAGCAAAAGTTTCATATCAAGTATGCTTTCTGCTTGATGTTTTTATAACATCTTCTTAAGCTTTATTACAATTTTGCATTTAAATTAATAGTGTCCTCAGAAATTCCCACATTCATAATTATCTCAAAATAAATAAACAGTGACCCTATGTGTGCCAGAGTAGAACTGAACTATGCTCCATAGGGTTTTTAGTGACTGTTTTCTTCAGAAGTAGATAGCCAAGTTTTTCTTCCAAGGTACCTTTGGATGGGTTCAAACTGCCAATTTTTCAGTTAGTAGTAGAGTGCTTAACAAGTGCACCACCCTGGGACTCCTACTCCAGAATAAGCCCACTGCCATCGAGGCAATTCTGACTCATAGCAAACCTATAGGACAGAGTAGGACAGTCCCATAGGGTTTCCAAGGCTGTAAAGCTTTACAGAAGCAGACTGCCCGATCTTTCTCCTGTGGAGCAGTTGGTGGGTTCAAACCACCAAGCTTTTGGTTAGCAGCCCAATGCTTTAACCACAGTGCCACCAGAGTTCCTTTACTCCAGAAAAGAACCCACAATTTAAGCTCATCTCATCTCAGCCTCAGTTCGCATTGCTCAATGGATCCAGTAGGTCTGGTTTCCATAGAAGTTTAAAGTTCTGTTCCATGCTTTTCCTCCTTTTGATCATGATCCATCTTTTGAGTCCTTGTCAAAACATTCAGTAACAGTAGCTGGGCACCATCTATTTCTTCTGATCTCATGATAATGGAGACAGTAGTTTATAGAGGTAGTTAAGCCTGCAGTCCATTTCCTTATCCAATTTCTGGGTCTCATTCTTCCTCTGATGTTCTGACAAATAAAGACCAATTATTTTATCAGAGGTGTCCACTTGCAAGCATTTAAGACTTTAGGCACTACTCGTTTAACTAGGAGGTAGAACAGAAACTCTAAAATTGACTAGGCCAATTGACTGGATATACCCATAAAGCTATGACCCTAAACCTTTGAACCAAGAAAACTAATCCCATGAAGTGTTTAGTTGTACCGAAGGTTGGGCAATCCTACTTCCGTAGTGATACTGCCTCGGAAACCCAAGGAGGGGTCGCTATGAGTCAGGGCTGACTTGATGGCACATAACAACAACAACAACACTAGTATCAACAGGTGCACACTTTCTTTTGGCTGCTGTTGTAGTTATAAAATTATATAAAACATTTTATTTGCCAATTTCCCCTCCCACTTCCCTTTTTTTTTTCCTGGTGTACATTATAATAGTAACAGCTATGTTAGTCTGGCTGTATAATCATTGTTTTTAGTTGCAAATTGTACCTAGTTTTCCCATCACCTTATACAAAAACTTACTACTTTCTAGTGAATAAGGAGAAATGGCAGTGTAGTGGTTAAGGCATGTGGCTTCTAGCCAAAAGGTCAGTGGTTTGAAGCTACCAACTGCTCCTCAGAAGAAAAATGAGGCAGTCTGCTTCCATAATGGTTTACAGCCTTGGAAACCCAATGGGGGTAGCCATGAATTGAAATAGATTTGATGGCAGTAAGTTTGGTTTTGTTTGGTTCCAGTGAATGACTTTGCCTTCTCCTCCCTACTCTCCCCACCTCTGCATCACTAATAACCATTTGTCACTATATAATTACCTACACTTGTCATTTCATATAAGTGACACCATACAATACTTGTCCTTTTGTGATTGATATATTTCATTCAGCATGACATCTTTGACATTCATCCATGTGGTAGTATGTATCAGGATTTCATTTTTCTTTAAGGCTGAGTTAGTCCATTATATGTATGTACCACATTTATTTATTCATTCATCTTTTGAAGGCCCTTGGGTTGTTTCCACATTTTTGCTATTTTGAATAATATTGCAATGAACACAGGTGTACCTATGTCTGTGTCATGTTTTAGATCACAAAGGTATATACCAAGGAGTGGAATTGCTTAGTCATATGGTAATTCTATTTTTAATTTTTGAGGACTCTTCATACTGTTTTCCACAATGGTTGTATCATTTTATGTTCCCACCAGCAGTGGATGTTGTTGTCGTTGTTGTTAGGTGCTGTTGAGTCATTTCTGACTCATAGCATCCCTATGTACAAGAGAACAAAACATTGTCCAGTCCTGTGTCATTCTCACAGTCCTTGCCATGTTTGAGGTCATTATTGCAGCCACTGTGTCAATCTGTCTCATTGGGGGTCTTCCTCTTTTTTTGTTAACCCTTAACCAAACATGGCATCCTTCTTCAGCTATGGTCCTACCTGACAATATGTCCAAAGTACTTGAGATGAAGTCTCACCATTCTCACTACTAATGAACATTCTGGTTTCCTCCAAGACACATTTGTTTGTTCTTCTGGCAGTCTGTGGTCATAGAATATTTCTCACCAACACCGTAATTCAAATGCATCAGTTCTTCTGTGGTCTTCCTTATTCATTGTCCAGCTTTCGCATGCAGTATGAGACTACTGAGAATACCTAGAATCAGAGATACCTAGATTCACCTAAAACTTTTCCTCTTTTTAACCTCTCTAGGTTTGACCGCAAGTCATATGATGTGTCTTCAGGGGAGAATAGCTTCTTTGGTGATGAATCAAGTGGTGGGAGAGTCTCATCTATTATGTTGGAGGACAATGGAAGTGACGATTTGATTTATATCCCAAGCCAAATAGTTAATCCAAAGAAAGTAATGATTAAATATGAAAATGATGAGGCTCCTGAAGAAATGGCAAGTCTCACTTCTGGTAAGGAAATGAAAAGGCGTGGTTAAAATGTTTAATAATCTGGATCCTTATCTTTTAACATTAAGGCTGGTATCGAAATAGATTTTTTTTTTTTCAAATTCAGGATGGAACTGTAGCTACCGCTTTAATTGAAATTGAAGGAGTAAATGGTGACAGGCATTACTAGGGAGGTTAGTGATATAAACTGAGAATGTCCCTGATATTCTCAACAAATTTAAGATTTTTCTAGAAACCACAAATTAGAAAGCTAGTGTGATAGGAGGAGGCAGTATAGAAAACATCAGGAAAAAAGGACAGATAAAAATCAGGGCCTGAAGTGGTTCATTCAGATTTGACTTCCTGCTGAGAATTTGCCTTTCCACACCAGCCACTCCTCAGAAGGAAGGTTGGGCAATCTTCTTCCGTAGGGCCTGGGAAACCCAAGGAGGGGTCGCTATGAGTCAGATCCGACTGGACGGCAGTGAGAGTTAAGACCCCAGATATGCTGAACCAGAATCTGTATTTTAACAAGATCATCAGATGATTCTTATAGATCTCTAAGGGATGCCAGCAAATTCTCAGCAAGAGGGCAAACCAGAACAAACCAATTCGAAGCCCTGATTAAAATAACTTTTGAAAAAGTTGGTCCAGCCCATGTCTGGAGTTTGAGATTCCATGAGGAGGTATGTTTTATTTTGGTGGTACCTGGAGAAGATAGAATATAAACTCCTCCACCACCTACACTTATACATTTTATGGGCAAGTCAGTAATAACTTCTCAGGATTAATGGTTTCAAACAAATAAGATACAGAATGTTCTCTGTATTTTCATTTATAATGTTGAAATATTCAACACACTATTTGACCATTCCATCCACGCATTTGGAGTCTTCCAAAATGCTCATGTGGCTGAATGCCAATATTTAAGCATTATGTCAGAAGTATGATGAGTGTAGTTAAAATATGCAGATGTGAAAAAAAGAGGATCAATTTCATGCTATAATATTCATTCTTAGCAGCTTCCTTTGATAATTTTTCTTGTGTTCAAAACACATGCCCCCATAACTAATTCTGAGATGTAAGTATTTGAACTTTATTTTTAAAACATCCAAACTTTCCTTAATAGAAAACACAATTAACAATAAAAAAAAAAAAAGCTAATGACTAGTTGAAAAATAAGATACCGTACCTATAAAAAGAGGTAATGCAGTAAAACTTGATGTAGGTAGTACTATGGCATTAAAACATTCAGGTGTGTATATTTTTCAGTTAAAACAATTATTGTCATATCAACACAGCCTAAAGAAGAGAATTAAATATTTGGTCTTTTTAATGGATGTTGTTAATTTAGGTTGCTTATTTGGGGTATTCATTTTAATAGTGTGGGAATTATAACAGCCCTCAAGGCACAGGAATTTTTTATGTTATGGATTAAAAAAGAACCAGGGAGTCCTTTGGCAGAGTGTTAGAGTAGCTAAATTGTCATTTGTGATTGTTTTGTTAGAGGAAAGCATTCCAAAATCTAGTAATTCAAAAGTGAAAAGCTTCTAAGGAAAGAGAAGTGACTAGATATGAAAAGAATAAAACTCATCTTTATAACCATTTTTTATGACTGCCGTTCAGTAGTAAAAGAAAGACTTTTCATTTGGTTTTTCAGATGTCTGGGGATCAAGATGATTCTCGTAGCCAGCATAAGGTCCAATTTGGCAGAAGAAATAATTATGCATGTCTCTAGCAGGAAAAAATGTAAATTGTCAGTTACCCACACCCCACCCAATCTCTCCTGCAGTGGGTTGACATGTGCTGGGAGTTCCATGGAGCAGGTTGTGATAGCCTGGAAATGGGAATTTGCACTCTTCCTTTCTTTCTTTTTCTTTTTTTTTTTTTTTTTTTTTTTTTGTCATCTTTAGCCAGTTGCCAAGAGTTGCTGTGAACTTTCTGTATAATGTGTTGTCCTCTGGAGAGTAAATTGTCGTTTGGATATTTTATGCAGTCACTGAGAGATGAGCTTTGATAAGTTCCAGATGAATTGCACAAATAAAAGGTTAATAACTTTCACAAGCACCTCCATATGCTGTGTTTATGTTACTCATTTATAATGTGGTTTTTATGACTAATGACTGATCTCTCTGCCCTTGAGCTGAGAGTCTTGGGGAAAGTCAGGAATCTTAACCATTTAAGAAACGCATAAAGCTTCCAGAGTCCTCCCGCAGTTGTTCACAAGAAGCACAATTGATTGACTCCCTACATATACCATGACCGATACCCCTACCTCTTCTCTTCCCTTGCTGGCACAATTTCCAAATTAATCTTCAAATCTACCTTTCTGACCCTATCCATTCCACAGAGCAGCCTAAGAATGACCTTTTATCTGGAAGTTTACTAAGAATCACCAGGAAGTCGTTAGTAAAACATGGATCCCTGAACCCTGCTCAGAGTTACTGCTTCAGATTTAGTGGTGTGAATGGAGAGGCATATGATATGATGTTTGTAAGTATTGTAGATGATACTTACACGCCATCCAGTTTGAGATGCATCATCCCAGTAGTTCTCCATGTGTATTCACCAGACCAGCAACATCAGCATCACTTGGAAACACATTAGAAATGCAGATTCTCAGCACCTATCCTAGATCTACTGAATCAGTAATTATGGAGGTGGTATCAGCACTGTGGGTTTTAACAAGCAGCACAGATGATTCTGATGTAGGCCAAAGCTTGAGGACGATGCTACTACCTTGGTTGAAAATTTGGTCTGTGTTCTCAATGGACTGTAGTTGAATATCTAGTATCACAGAACAGTTGTTGTTGTTGTTATGTGCTGTCGAGTCGGCCCCGACTCATAGCGACCCCTCCTTGGGTTTCCGAGGCAGTATCACTACAGAAGTAGGATTACCCAAACTTCCTTCTGAGGAGTGCCTGGTGGGTTTGAACTGCCAGCCGTCTGGTTAGCAGGCAAGTGTCTTAGCCACTATGCTACCAGAACAGAGATGTGCGAATTCCTGCCTCCAAAGGGGACCAGGTGTTATAACCATGAATATAATTTTATTTTGCCCATCAAAGAACACTGACCATACATCCATCCAACCAACCAACATCTATCTAACAAAATGCTTTAAGGTCCAAATATATTAGGATTATCTGAAGTTAATATCATGCATTTTGACCATAACATCTGCATACAAAAATTCCTTGGAAAATACAGTTCCTCCTAATAATTTACTAGTGGAATTCATTTTGTTTTTTGAAATTATGTAATAAAGAATGGGTGGTTTAATTATAATTAAATTATAATTGATTACCTAATGGCTAGTCTAGCATTTTAATCAAAGACCATCTATTACTTGATATTTAAGCTAGAACTAGTTTCCTTTCAAGATGAGAGATGGGCAGGGTAATTTGCTATGAATGCTAAATACCAAACCAAACTTAGCCTAGAGCTTACACATATAAGCAGCTCCAGGCCCTAGGATAACTTCAGCTGATTTTTTTTTTTTAGTGTATTTAAGAAATGAGAAGCAACACTTTCCCCTTCATACTAGGCTGGAATTGTGCTCCAGGACATTTGTGCAGGACATTTTTACCTCCCTAAGGTGGTGGAGCTCTGGTAGCATAGTGCCTAAAGCACTTGACTGCTAACCAGAAGGCTGGTGGTTCAAACCCACCGGCCACTCCTCAGAAGGAAGGTTGGGCAATCTACTTCTGTAGTGATACCACCTTGGAAACCCAAAGGGGTCGCTATGAGTCAGATCTGACTTGACAGCAGTGAGTTTGATATTTTTGGTTTTAAGTTTAATCTCATTCTGATCTACAAATCAACTTTTTTTTTTTTTTTTTTAAAAAGGGTATCATCTTTTGACTTTGTATTAATCATAGGGTATTAGAACTGGAAGAGAATTTAGGGCTCAAAAATTAAACTGGGGTCAATTCTGCCTTACTTCGCCTGAAAGGACATTTTGCAATGTCTGGAGATGTTTTTGGTTGTTACAAGCAGACGGTGCTACTGGCATCTAGTAAGTAAACAACCTTGATGCACAGGACAGCCCCCCACAACAAAGAAGCGAAAGTGTGGTCAAACTGTCAATGGTGCAGAGATTGAGAAACCCTGTTTTTGATGAAATCCCATGCCCTCAGTGTCATGGAACTTTCAGACCCAGTACAGGGACTCAGGGCTCCTACATCTATTGACTATTTTCCCATTACACCTCCAGGATTCTGCTAACTTTAAAAAACTTATACAAAGACTATCATATCTTGTGGAAGTTCTGGTGGCATAGTGCCTAAGGCATTTGGCTGCCAATTCAAGCCCACCAGCCACTCCTTGGAAGGAAGATTAGGCAATCTACTTCCATAGTGCTACCGCCTCCGAAACGCAAGGAGAAATGGCTATGAGTCGCAATCAACTCGAGGGCAGTGAGTTTTTGTTCTTATGAAATTTAAATTAAACGAGCCCCTAGATCAAAGAACTTAGCAAACTGAGCAATTTTTAGTGTGGATTATATTCTTTTTTCACACTGGAATGTAGGCTTACATAGTTTTATTCAAACCATTGTATATCCTGCTGCTCATGTAAAACTGTGTCATAAGGTTTTCCATATTGCTGCAAGCTTCATATGAATTTTCCTAAATATCCACAAAATGTTCCTTTAAATAAAGAGATGTATTTAAACCTTTCCCTCACTGAACACTTATCTTGCTTCTAATTTTGCTATCGTGTATTAAACTACAATATATGTCATTACTTCTGCTCCATTTGAATCTATACTGTCATTAAATGTAGAAGACTTGGCTTCTGAGTCACCCTGTGGAACACCAGCTTTCATCTCAGCTCAGCTTCCATCTCAGTACACATGCTAAAGAGGAGATCAGGAATAGAATTGTGGCCACGTCTGAATTTTAACGTTTCATGCAGTCTTTAGGAAACCTCAACAATCTGAGTGTTCATTTGGGAATAAACTGAGTCTTCTGTTGCTTCATTGTAAACTAGAAACTGAGGTTGTTGCATTTACCTTTTCTCAAGAA